CTCCCTGGTGAGGATGTTCTCCATCAGGAAAGGGAGCCTGGGGTAGCCCTCCTTCACTCAGGTTGAGCCCTGTACCACGGGAGTGAATGGGTCCAGCTCATCTCAAGTCTCGATGGAAGTATCCCAATAACCCAATTTTACTGTCACATGAATTTTCCAGCTATCACTAATCACATTGCTTCAAGATGACTAACGTTCCTGAGAAGGCGAGTTATTTCTCTTTCCAGTTACTGTCTGAAGTGCTTGAGGTGAAGTGGACAGTTTCCTAGTAGATTGGCAAGGGCTGACACTAGAGTTATTTCCAAGTATTGCACATCCATTCCCCACTGCACAAAGTCCACGAGGTGACTGAGCAGCAGCCCAGTCATAGCACAGGCCCCTTGGAATCCAAAGGCTTAGAGATTAATCATTAAGAAACAACAGACTTTCCCCTTGATGAGCCTCTCCCTCTTCCTCATCCTTATTCATTCTTCTTGATCCTGAAAAAGAACACACACACTCACTCACCTAAACCTGTCATTAGGAAACTTTATTTAGACTGGTCTGCTGATTTAACGTTAACAGCTACGGAGTGTCCAGCTTAAATAACCCTTACCTAGTATCACTAGCAGTAAACTAACAAGAGATAGAACAGGGAAAAAGATCTCCCTGCCTAAAATGTTTATATATTTTTTCTCTCGAATGCTTGATTTCTCCTATACAGGTAAAGAGAAGGGGAAAATAGGGTATATGTAGCATTTTTCCTCTAAAAATAGTCCATAATGAAATATTATCAGCCAAATCAATCTGGAAAGTGGATTAACATTTCCTCCAATCCATCTTCAACTGCTGCTTAGCCCAAACTGAGTGGTGTGTGTGGTTTTTTTTTGTTGTTGTTGTTTAATTTGGCCTTTTGCTCTTCAGGGAATGAAAAGGGTCACTGGCATTGCTGGTTAAAAACAAACTAGTGTCAGTGAACCCTGCCACTGACTCCCAGAAGATCACAGGAAGGCTTAGGTAAGACCTCTAACTTGTTAAACCAAATTTCTCTCCTATTCTCACTTATTGTAGGATTTATGATGATTACCAAGTTGTGGGTGGGGGTAGACATAGCACCTGATAGGCAAAGCACCCTGCTGGGAAGGAAGGAAATTGAGAGTTAAAAATCTTCTAGGTAGCTTTGTTTTTTTACTTTTTAAACTAGTTTAAAAAGGAGGCTTAAAAAATAGAAAACCCATTAAAACTCATTGCTGTCGAGTCGATTCTGACTCATAGCAACCCTACAGGACAGAGTAGAACTGCCTCATAGGGTTTCCAAGGAGCAGCTGGTGGATTCGCACTGCTGACCTTTTGGTTAGCAGCTGAACGTTTAACCATTGTGACAGCACGGCTCCTAAAAATGGAAGAAGTTAGAATAAGTCAGTCACAAAGGGATAAATATTGTATGATTCCATTTATATGAAATATCTATGATAGGTAAGTGCATAGAGACCAATGTTTATTAGCAGTTACCAGGGGCAGGTGGGAGGGAGGGGAATACGAGGACTTACTGCTTAGGGGACACTGAGCTTCCGTCAAGGGTGATGGGAAAATTAGGAAATGTATAATGGCTGATAAACATAACTAATGTCACTGAATTGTACACGTGAAGAATGTTGAAATGAGGAATGATTTGTTACATATTTATTTACTACAATAAAAAAAGAGGAAAATGTTGGAATGTAAAATGGTGCAGCTGCTTTGGAAAACAATTTGGTGGTTTCTCAAAAGGCTGACCCATATGACCCAGCAATTCTGTATACCAGGTACATACTCAAGAAAAATAAAAACATACATCCATACAAAAACTTGTTCAGAAATACTGACAGCAGTATTATTCATAATAGCCCCAAACTGGAACCAACCCAAATGTCCATCAACTAAGGAATGAATAAACAAAATGTGGTATACTGTACAATGGAATGTTATTCAGCAAAAAAAAAGAAGTACTGATACATATTACAACATGGATGAACCTTGAAAACATTACGCTAAGTGAAAGAAGTCAGTCACAAAGACCATACATTGTACGATTCCATTTATAAAAACTGTCTAGAATAGGCAAATCTATAGAGACAGAAAGTAGATTAGTGGTTGCCTAGGGCCGGATGGTTGCTATTAGTCAGAATCGACTCGATGGCAACAGGTTTTTTTAGGGCTGGATGGAGGAAGTTTGTGGGGAAATACAGAGTGATTGCTAAAGGTTATGTGGTTTCTCTTAGGGGTGACAAAAATGTTCTAAAATTGATTATGGTGATGGCTGCACAACTCTGGATATATGAAAAACCACTGAATTGTACACTTCAAATGGGTGAATTATATGGTATGTGAATTATATCTCAATAAAGCTGTTTAAAAAATGGAAGAAGGCTGCACTCAAGAAAAGGAGTCACAGAAAAGATACACATGCACACACACATCTTTTGATTGCTTAAACCAGCTCTGCCCCTGGGTGGGGGTCCTTTCTGTTGTCAGAGTGAATATCAGATGGGAATGCCCATGTGAGCAGTGAACTGGGACTTAGAGGAACAGACCTTTAAACTCTGGATTTGTCTGTAAACGTGGAGATCTCTCAAATCTTGCTCATCCACAGGCAGAAGCCCACCCCCTGCTGGCAGAGCAGGACAGAGAAGCCCTGCAAGGTGGCTGCACTCAGGTTGGCTTGTCTGCTATGAAAGATGGGCCATGTTACAGCTGGGCTGTGACGCCGCACCTGGGCCTACACGGGGACAATTACAGGCCTTTGGACGGCCTTCAGCGGTTCCAAGCACCTGCCTGTGTGCTGACAGGAGAGGACCGGGGCTGGCTGTTTGTGTGCTTTCATTTGTAAAGGGCACAAATCAAAGTCATTGGAGCGAAGTTTTAAGGACAGTGCTTTGGACCTTGAGAACCATAAAAGGAGACATGGGGCCACACCACTTGTAGTCCCTCACCCCAGCTGGCCCAGAAGGCCCAGGGCCGAGTGTGGCCTGGGAATTCCCCCAGGTGCTCTGTGCCCACTGCTCATTCTGGCCACTAATGTCTGATAAATATCCCACCATGCTGACTGCAGGGCTGGGCAGACAGGGTGGCAGCCCCTTTTGATGTGGATGCAGTCAAGGGCTGGACCCCAGGACCCCGTACCTCCTGTGACTTGGTACGTGAGGCCCCTGCAGATAGCCAGGACCCTGGGAGAGGCCTGCTGCTCAGCTGAGAGCCAAGCCTGGGTCATAACAGCTGAAGACTAAAAACGATCACTGTGAACTATGAGAGCATCAGGGTCTTTTTGTAACACGGACTTGATGACGATGATAACAATAATAACTATAACTAACATACCGAATGCTTAACATGTATTGAGTGTCTTTCCAAAAACGTGATGTGCTTCATCTCATCTTTTCCTCACAACACCTATAAGGTAGGTATTGTTATTATCTTGCTATGACACGAAGTGAACTGAGGCACAGAGAGGTTAAGACATCGCTCAAGGTCACACAGGAACAAGTGGTCAAGCCAGGATTTGTGCTGAGGCAGCCCCATTTAGAGCTCAGGGTCTCCCATGCTGTGCGGGGGCTTTCTAGGTCTCAGTCAGGCAGTAGGAGGCACAGTCCAGGCCACAGTGAGGCTGCCCAGACAGGGTGGGGAGCGCTTAGGCAATGCACTCACTCTTGCCAGGGGAACTCTGCCTCCACCCCACCTGGGGTGGGGGAGGCGGCCAGAGAAAATGTCCGGTTCCTGAAACCAGGCAGTTGCTTTTGCTTCCTCCTTTGAGCAAAACAAAATATGGCAAAACGAAACAGACCCTTCTCCCTGGGAGATGAGCCTCAAAGGAGAACTTCACCTGTGGAAACCGAACTATAACAGAAACTGAAGCTTCTTCTCTAGCATTGTAATTTTTCTCTTAGGTAAGTGAGAAGTTGTGACAAATTACAACACCAATTCTCACATAAAAAAATATTTCTTCTCAGGGAAAAGAAAAAGAAAATGGTACGTCAAGTACTAGTTCCCAGTTCCATGAGGCTAGTGGCATGAATCCACTTTCACACCAGGATACCTGAGCTGGTGGTCTGTGGGTGGTTTGCCTGTAGTCTACTTTAGCCCTCAAAAGTCAAAGGGAGTAATAGCAGAGACACAAGCGGGGCTTATTGCCCTGTTGTTGTTACTGTTATTGTTAGCTGCTGTCCAGTCAGCCCCCGACTCTCGGTGACCCCATGCATGGTGACCAGAACGAAATGCTGCTCGGTCCTGCATCATCCCCATGATCGGTTGCAGATTGTGACCTATAGGGTCTTTATTGGCTGATTTTTGGAAGTAGATTGCCAGGCCCTTCTTCCTGGTCTGTCTTAATCTGGAAGTGCCACTGAAAACCTTTTCAGCATCATGGCAACACACAAGCCTCCATTGACAGACAGGTGGTGGCTGTGCATGAGTTGCACTGGCCAGGAATCAAACCAAGGTTTCCCACATGAAAGGCAAGAATTCTAACCATGGATGCACCCTAGAGCTCACCAAATGCCCTACCATCTTGAAGATCTACCCACCCTGCTATGTAGACAGTGCATACCACTGAGCCCAAGAGGAAAAAGACCCAGAACACGTGGCCTTAATCTCCACCCTGGGCTTCTGACTACTTCCAGCATCCCTGCTCCCACTCCCTTGTCTCCTACCCTCTGTCCAGCTCGTAGACTGGCAAAGCCACTGCCAGGTGCTGGGCTGAGTCCCTTGCAGGCACCCTCTCATTTATTGCTCACAATCGCTGGATGAGACTGCCTCTCTCCGAGTGAAGAGGCTGAATTACACCTGCCCATTCTTGAAAATGCCTCCTGAAGTCCTGCTGCTGTTCTCTTACTTTGGGAAAAGACACATAAACAAATAACACACAAACACTTCTTTTTGGTCTTACCTGTTCTCTTGAGTTTTCCTCTAGGCAGGAACTTTGGAAACACCAGTTATTTATTTGCCCCTCCTCCTCCCGTATCTCTGTGAGGGCACGAGAAACTCACCATTATTGAAGACCGTGCCTGCTGTGAACGAGAGCTCGGAGTCATGCTCAGCTTTGCAGGCGTACAAGGCTTTTGCCTTCCGGAATGGTGTGCTGTGTGAAAACAGGAGTTTATTGAGCATTTTTTTCTAAACCCTCTGAAAGCCCCAGAATTTTAATCTCTCTTCTTCCCCTTCCCTGCAAGCCACCTAGTCCTCTCTTGTGGGAAGAGCCTGAAAAAGTAGCCAGATAGCAAAACACGAGGTGGAAAAGTTGCAAAGGTCACAGGAGAAAAATGAATAATACTCAGAGAAAGGCTGTAAACTCTGAGAGAGCATGCTTCTTGTACGGTCATCTTATGTCATGTTGAAATGTTACCTAGGAGCTACGACAGCTGAAGTAGGAGGCAGGCTGAGCCTCGTTTTTGGAGGTGGGATACCTTGGGAGGAGGGAGGCTGGGGCAGGAAAGAACCTCCAAGTTGTTCTAGAGAACACTCCCAAAAGACTCTGTTGAAAGTTGGCAATACGTGGTCAATCAAAAAGAAGAAACTCCAGCAAAGTCAGGCTTCGGCTTAAGCCACAGGCTGACATTAGTGCTCCCAGATGTTAACTGTTTCTAATTGGGCTGGATCTTACTGGTGAAGCAGGATTTTAGAGCTGGAACTCCTTGACCGCAGGATAGGGTTGGGAATAGAGAAGGTAGGTGTGTGTGCGCGCGCACATGCATGTGTGCACATTTGTGTCGTGAAGGGGACGAAGATGGGAAAGACAATGATGGTGGTTTTTTTTTTTTTTTTTGCCGTCTCATACCCAGTGAGTGTTGGCAACAATGCTGCTCATTGTGCATCAGAATCACCTGGGGAGCTTTTAAAAAAAAAATGAAGATATCTGGATTCCATCCCGACTTGCAGACATAAATATAAGCATGCATCAGTAGTTTTAAAAAGCTCCCCAAGTGATTCTAATGTGCAACCAGGGATGAGAGCCATTGTTCTAGGGCAGGGGTTCACAAACCTTTTCTGTAAAGGGCCAGATAGTAAATATTTTAGACCTTGCAGCCATGCGGTTTTTGTCATGACTACTCAGCTCTGCACTGTAGCACAAAAACAGCCACAGACAACATGTAAACAAATTAGTGTGGCTGTGTTCCAATAAAACTTTATGTATAAAAAATAGGCAGTGGGCCGGATTTGATCCACAGGCCACAGTTTGCTAACCCATGCTCTAGAGAGTAATTTGTAAGAGCTGGTAAATCGTGTTACCGTCTGCCAATTTTTGCTTTGGTATCCAACTAGTTCCTAACAATCCACGTCTCAAGAGTCATAAGAAAAATGACAGCTCTCAAAAGCTGGCCCTTTATTTACCAAAATTGATCTTCTCCTTCCCCTAAGCTATCTGAGAAAGCACACATAGGGCTTCAAGGGCAGAACAGAAAAAGCACAAGTAAATCCCCTGGGCTAGAAAGTTATTCAAGGGATACATATTATTTACTTTATCTTCCTTTGACTAGTGTAGACCCTCAAAGAGCCAGGGATGCAAAACCTCCCGTGAAGCACTGATTTCTAGTGGACAAAATGAGATGAAACTGAGCATCATCTGGTCTCAGGCAAATCTACACAGACCAGTTGGGGCAGGCGTTCTAGGGCACTATGGAACTGTTATTTCTTGGTGTCACCAAGTCCAGCCTCCCTTTAGAAAAGAGCCACAGATGGATGGAAACCTACACCAGGGCCAGGAACCTAAAACTTACAGTCTCCGCTCCACGAAAACTGAAGGAAAAAAGGACTTAAAAGGTTTGCTGAGTAGGGTGATCAGAGGAAATGATTATCCAGACTTTGTTGCCAGGGCAGTTTACTATTGATCTCCCTGGCTTTCTAGTAGACAAGAGGTGAGGGCCAGGTGGGAGAAAGTGAAGTGGGGCTGCTAGGAATGATGGGCAGGAAAAAGGGCCTTGAAACTTCGTTAGCTCCAACTTGAAAACTGCTCTTGCTTTCTACAGATCATTAAAGTTAGAATAAAGTTCAGGGCAAGGGGTGCATCCTGTGATCTAACGAGACCATGTCTGTGCGCTGGCCAGCAAGGGCCAAACATCCAATGTGCAACTTTCCAGGGAGGAATAAAACAGTCTTTTTTTTTTAGGAGGTAGGGAGCAGACAGGAGTAAGCTGGTTGTGAAATGTGCTAAAACAGCAGAAAAACCACACTGACAGGTGACTGGGTCTGTTATGACACTGAAGGTGGAAGGAGAATCCAGTCCACACTAGCTAGGGTCATAGAGACCAGGTTTCAAGGGTTACTGCCCCTTGAGGACAGGGCAGAGCAGGTGGGAAAAGAGCAAAGAGACCAGGGAAGGGGAACGAAAGGTGATGGGAACAACATCGGAGGCAGGGTTCCTCGGGCTGGAGTTTCATAGAGGTTATTTATTAACCTCATTAAATAAAGGCAATGGGACAGATCAGGGGCAAGCCAGGGAAAACAGCTGGGGTATCTGGCAGGCAGAAAGCACAGAGAATGGTCTCAGGTGCCCAAGACTATCTTTTGAAAGGAGTAACTTTCCACTAGTATTAGGCTTTTGGTATCAAATAATGAAGTGATAATAAAATATTGCATTAAAATCAAAAAGATCAGGGAATGATCTTGCTTTTCTCTCAAGTCAACAGGTGACTGACCACCTAGGAGAGGGTCTTTTCTCCTGAGACCTCTCCCAACCCAAAAATAAGAGGGATGACACAGACGGGGTGCTTTTAAGAAGGACCACTCCTGCTCCCCAGGAGTAGGCTGCCAGATAAAAAACAGAACACCTAGTCAAATTTGAACTTCAGATTAACAATGAATAATTTTTTAGTATAAGTATGCCTCATGCAATGTTTCTATGTCCAAACATTGCATGGGACATACTTAAACTAAAAAAAAAAAAAAAAAATTTGTCGTTTATGTACAATTCAGGTTTAACTGGGCATCCTGTATCTTTATTTGCTAAATCTGGTGGCCCTACCCAGGGGAAAGTTTTATCTTTTTAAAAGTTTGTTGGCTCAACAAGTCATGTGTCCCAATGCCATAACCCCTCTCGACAGCGTTGATCAGTCTGTGTTAAGTAGGGTTCCTACTAAACAGAAAGATCCTGTTGGCAGAGAGGTTGTTTGGTAGGTTTTGGCTGTGAGTAAAAAACAAAACAAAATCCTCACCAAGTATCCTTGGTTCTCTGGCTCCTCAGTCCCCTTATTCTCCCCTCTGCACCTCAACACGGGGCACAGAGAGCTTGGGGTGGTTTTGGCTGCTCCTGCCACAGTGCCCTTTAGACCTTGGCTGGGCCTTCAAGGGCATGAACGAGTTAGATCCTTCTGTTGATTCATTTTTAATTTTTGCCTCTGAGCATGGCATGAGGCCAGGAAAGCACTCAGAGGAGTTTCCCTCAAATGACCTTGTAAGTCTTGCAAAATGACGCTCCACTTCACCACTGTACAGCACAGCAGGGGGTGGGGCCGGCTAGGTTGGTAGGTAGCAACAGCTTGATCTTTTAGGCACAAATTTCTGTGGCCACTGTGCAAATGCAAGTTATGGGGTCCGAGGCGTGGAGCTTTTCTGGGGGTGCAAGTGACAGGAAAGGGAAATGTGAAGGCAATGCTCCCACAGGTCCCTTTCCTGATGAGCTGCAAAAGGCATCTTCATTCTTGAACTTGAACTAACAAGCATAAAAATGGTTCCAAGAGGGGACAGGAAGTCATTTCCAGCACAGACACTGTGTAGAAGTAAGGCCGTTCCTTAAGTTTAATTAAGCATTTATTTTTAAAAAATTCTGCCTTGGGAAAGAAATCTGACATTTCAGGTTACTTTGGGGGAAGGCCTCATTGGACCTGAGTATGTATACCCCATCTCTTGGCTGTCTAACTACAATAGCAGTCAGGGCATTCTAGACCTCTCTGTTCCAAAGATGGGCTAGCTCCCTAGCAGTGTCCCTGTTTGAGCTCTCCTTGGCACCCATACTTAGCTCAGTGGCAGCGGATTCCAAGCCCCCACTCTGCCTTGGCTATTTCAAAATGGCAGCTTCCTAAAGGGTTCTGGAGCATCAGAATTCAAACAGTGCTGTTTTAACAGTGGCCAGAGGGGCAGTATTGAGTAACCATGACCCCAAACCCATCAGGTGAGCAGATTCTTTCGCCTCTGTCAACCTGGACGTACTTTGGGAGATGGGCGTACAGAAGTGGAGAAACCTGACAAGCAACCAGGCCCCAAAACTCAAAGACACAAAATGAATACTCTCCATGGAGACAGTAGATTTTAGTTTTTTAGTTGAATAATTCCACCGTCCTGAGTTTCCAAACCCATTTTGTTCAAAGGGCCAGTGCTTTGAAGATTTTACTCCCTTTACATAAAAACGAAAAATATATATTCTCCTAATGCCTAAGTCTCTCTTCTGTGTGAGTGAGGCATTTTGGGAGGTGAAGGTCTCTGGCCATTACAGTTTGCTCTGATTCAGGTCCTCATGGGATAATCAAAGGTTTAACCAGAACAATCCATACTATATTCTAGTATTCCATAAAGTTAACGTCTGCCCAAGTGCCTGGCATATGTCTGTGAAATAATTAGGAAATAATTTGAATGTCAGGAAAATATGATCTGAATTTTTACCTTATTCCCAGGGTGAAGGAAAAAAAAAATTACTGAGAAGCTATCTCTCCTGTCTTCTGGAAAAAGCTAGGTAGAAAGCTGTTATCAAACCTACAAGACCAGGCTAGGCTCTTGAGCTGGGAGTTACATGGAAACTTAAAGTTGGGGTTACCCATATGATTAGAGGAAAGAGCGTGGAGTTGAGGGCAAGAAGTCCTGAATTGTGGATTTGCTCTCATTTAGTCCCATGACCATGCATCAGTTGCCTCTCAGTATCTCAGTTTCCTTTTTCTATAACAGGGTTCAGGCCATATCTCCTCTCATTCCTACCTGAGAGCAGAATGAAATGATAGATGTCAAAGTGCCCTGAGAAGAATAAAATAATACATGCAACTGTATGTATAAATTATTATTGTATTACTATATACAGATGCATATATTATTTAATATTTAGTCTATGCATCTGTATGTATAAATGGAGCCCTGGTGGTGCAGTGGTTAAGGGCTTGGCCGCTAACCAAAAAGTTAGCAGTTCGAATCTACCAGCCACTCCTTGGAAACCCTATGAGGCAGTTCTACTCTGTCCTATAGGGTCGCTATGAGTCAGAATTGACTTGATGGCAATGAGTTAATGAGTATATATAATAGCACGCGGTTTTCTTTTTTTAAAATTGAGACTCAGCTTCATAAATTCTTTAAGCCTCTTTGCTGGAGTCACACCTTAGGGAAAAAAAATCAGATGTGGAAAAAAAAAAAAATAGAAGAGAGAAAATACTTCCAGGGCCCAAAATGCGTATGATGCTTATAACTGGGCTCCGCATTTTGGTTGTTTGAGAGCAGAGAGTAAGATCAAGAGACACACATCTTGGGCCCTACACAGCAAGGGGATTCTGTAGGCTCTTTATTAATTCCTTTCTTAGATTTAAACAGTTTCTTTTCTCCCAAGAGCTCAAGTGCAGAGAATTGTGGCTCTTAGGTCAGGAAGTCGTTAAAGCAAAAAAAAAAAACTATGGCATGGTCCTTGGGGAGAGGAACTAGGTCAAACTGTTCACCCTCAGGAAGAGGTGTTGCCCATTCCGATGAGAGCTAAGGGCTCTAACACACAGAGACAGAGGCAAGGAACCATAAGCTGTGAACAGTTTAAAGATAAACCATTTCATATCTTGATCCCTCATTCTCTGTGTTATATTTGTCTCTCTCCCAGTGGATCTGGTCTAAGCAACTAGCTGTCAGTGCTCATGGCCAATGGCTCAACTCCACAAATAAATGTGGACTGATAAAAATGAGGAAAGAAAAGGCCAAGCATGTGTGTCAGCAGTTCCCTTTTATATTATCTTATACGAAAGCACAAAGAGAGCCCAAATAACTAGAGAGCGACCAAAGCAGGAGACTTATTCAGGAGCAGGGGCTCTTTCCCCAAACTCCAGGCACCTCAGATTAATCCAGGAACTTGAAGAAGGGCATGAAAAATGCCATGCTGATTCATGCAAACGGTGCCTCCTGGCTTTGGTCGGAAACGTTGGAACCACAGGTGAGCTGAGGCCGGCCCCCAGTTGTCCCTGACAGGCTTTGGATAAATGGGAACGGATTGGTTGTCATCCATGATTTTACCTGGAGTCTTCACGAACTTCTTCTTCTGGCCTGTCAAAAAGCAAGTTCAGGTTTGGATGGCAGGGTACAAAGTTGACGAGGAGGCTGAACACTGCATGAAGAGAGGACCAAGCAAATGAGAGAACAAAGGCAGCAACAGAAAACCAACAAACCCTGCAACAGACCTGACGGGGGATGAGTCGCTTGACGTGGATGAGGTGGGCATAGGGCTGGATGGCGCCGAGAACATGGGCCAAGATGGCGAGAGGGGTGATGTTGGGCTTGGATTCGGGGGGCTGCAAGACATAACAACCAGAAAACTCATCAGCACAGAGGGAAACCACGATGGGAGCATAGGAGGTTCATGGAGGCCAAATGACGGGGAGCTGGAGCCGCCTGGACAAGCACTGGGACTCAGGGACATGCGGTCAGTGCCAAGTCACATTTCTCCAGACTAAACCTCCATACCTTCCAAGTAATGCCTGTTCTCCAATTCCTCGGAACTTGAACATGTCTCTGCCCTGCAGAACAACAGCTTTCTAGGTGATAGAAGCTCCTTCTACCATGTCAATTGTGCATCTGGCCATCGGCTAAAAATGCCCTGAGACCACATGCATTAGTTCCTACACTCATATCATATCGCCAGCCTCCATTCTCGGGCAGGGCTGGCTTATATAACGAGCCTTCCGCTTCTACTGTTTTATGAGTGTTTTTAATAGCGTCTCAGCAAAAACGACCACTTTTTTCTGGGCCACACAGGCCATTCGGCCAGAAAACAATTTCCTGTTTACATTTTTAACTAAATGGGCTTGGTGCCATTGGAGACCCAAAGTACTGCATTAGAAAGATGATCGTGACTGGAGGGTGGGCATGGATCCACGCCTCTCAGGAGACAGGATGCAATCCATCAAGTGAGATCATCAGATATCCTCAGATTAATTCAATTGAACATTTATTAAAAGCCATTATGTGCATTATATTTCTTAAACATAAGCCCCATAAGGACTGGGATTTTTTTTTTTTTAATACTTTAGATGAAGATTTACAGAGCAAATTAGTTTCTCATTAAACAATTAATACACAGTTTTGTGACACTGGTTGCCAAGCCCACGACATGTCCGCACTCTCCCCTTGAGGTCTGCTTTCCAGGCCTGCCCTCCTCCTTGCATGGAGTTTGGTCATTCTGATACTCAAGGAGAAAGCCTCAGAGGGAAGGAAAAAAGAAATGAGGAACTGAAACCTTAAATCTGTCTACCTTGCTCCTTGATGGGTGGGTGATCGAAAGTTTGGAGAGGAAATGTTGAAATTACTCACTAAAATACGGTCTGTGGATCTTGATGGGTCATGCTAGCCTTTGACTTATTTTCACAAATTACACAACCAAGCAAACACCTTAGCAACTTTGTAAAATCACATTAAGTCACAGAGACTGCTAACACCAATGGCTGAGAAAATGTGGAAACCATTCATCCGCAACACAACCTGCAGTCCCTGAACCTCAACTGCCTGCGGGATTACTTGGGCCGAGCACTTTATGCAGGTGAAAACGACAGCAATCCAATTCAAGGGCAACAAGCTTTCTAAACATAGTGGGATTTAGCAAGAACACATAAATGTCCTACTTAATGAGACATCCTTAGGGTTATGCCAAGTCAGGAATGAGACCCAATTACAGCCATAACTAGCTATGACAGTAACATAAATACTTATGAATATACACGGTAAAAGCCCATTGAGCGAGTTCATCAGATATCCTCAGATTAATTCAATTGAACTTTTATTAAAAGCCATTATGTGCATTATATTTCTTAATATAATGCCCATAAGGGCAGAGATTTTTTTTTTATTTTGTACTTTAGATGAAGATTTACAGAGCAAATTAGTTTCTCATTAAATAATTAATACATAGTTTTGTGACATTGGTTGCCAAAGGTCAGGAAGTCGTTAAAGCAAAAAAAAAAACTATGG